AGTCAAATAACCTACATTAGCTGTGTTGCTATACTCAAGATTTTCACGTGTCGAGAGCCTTCAATGCAGTTTGTAGCTAAGCGGAATAGACTTTAACAGAGAACATTTAACATGGTATCAAATTAGGCACCACTAATCAATGCAGCTCAGTTTGCTTATAGCTATTTTGCTGCCAAGGCGTTGTTCGATCTTTGTTGTCTGGTTTCTTACATCCACGTCGTGTGGGTAAGGATCTCAGAGGCTGTTGGCTGAATCGCTCACAGAATACCTAGCCGAAGCGATGCAGTTTATGAAATTTGATCAGCTTTGTATTGTCATTGAGTTATTTTTTTCAAAAAATCCAAAAGAACTGATCCAGTGTTAGAAGCAGACTGTGGACAATCTGCTAAGGCATCTACGGTTGAGCACCAAGAGATATTAACTTGCTCAGCTTGATCATACATGATACACTAGTGAAAACTGCACCATTGTTATTTCGAGCCAGGACTGATACGAATATCCAGGAAGACAAATTCGTTCCCATCCTCAACCGGCCCATCCGCAAGAATGAGGTTCCAGTTTGATCTAAACCGGTCTGGAATCAACACTGGACAATGATCTGTGAAACTCTCACCAAATTGTGAGGTAGAATAACGTAGATTATTTACTATTTTCTGGAGTACTGTGCTAAAATATCAGGGAACGGCTTTGAATTCCACGTGCCCATCAACTGTGAGCAAACTCCCTGGGAGCATTTCGATTACATAGGTAACAAAACTTCGGATTCGGACACCCATGTTCATATTAACGGCAGATTGGTAGAGAAGAGATAGAGGAAGGCCCTTTATCAGAACAACGTATGATGCATGCATTAGTGAATAATCACGGGGATCAAATATACGGTCAAAGGTACTTGCGAGTTGCTGTCACGACTGCAATTTACTGGTGGCACATACGAATGACTTCAAATTGAACGTACGTGTAAGCAGTGATAGCATTAACCTACAAGGAAGTGGTTAGAAATAGAGACGATTAGCTTGGCATGACACAGCAGAGAACAAGATTTTTTCGTCCGCAACTAACTTACCGCAACATTTGGGTTGCCTGCTTCAACAACCGACCGAACAAGTTGACCATTCAATTCAGCACAGCAGTGAGCAGCCGTTAATATCCATTTGCTTGATTAGATACTACCGGAACAAATAGTTATACAAAGTACGGACAAAATATTTGGAAATTTTATATTTCTCGTGATAACCATTCTTTCATTCACCGCGGAAGGAGTCACCATCTTTTTCGGTGAATGTTGCTTTGTTTGCGGAGAAGTTTCACGTTCAAAGAAGTGAATTCTGTGCAGAAATTGCCAGTCATTTATGACAGAACTGGTGAAGTCCGATGAGTTTGACCTGTCAAACCAGTTTTGTTATTCACTACATAATGTATCCCTTTATCCTACAATCAAATTCCGCGGGATTCGTCGACGATATAACATGGTGATTTCGCTCCAGCATGTATGGCGTTTCATCTACCTGGGATTTTACTTCAGAAGAGTGGCTGCTTACCGGATAGATTTTATCAGGCATTCTTGAATTTAATTGTCCGAAATGAGACCCCATTTCGCCTTGGTTCCGATCGCTCAACTCCCATTTATTCATGGAATTCTATTCATCATTTATGATCACTCTAGTATGTCCTAACATTCTACTTGATAATAAACTCGTTTCACAAACATAGCTGACAGTTTTGTGATCTCAACATATCTTTCAACTAGCGTAACGCCCAGCGAAAGTTCGACATCACCGTTTGTAATGTCTCACAATGAATCGCTGTCTGCTGGTGAAATTAAACTTAAACTCACCGCGTTGCTCTCAGATCGACAGTGAGACAGTTCACCTTGGAAAGAAGTAGGCCATAATGGTCCACTCGGGCTGGCTACTCTCCACGGTGTTGAACTAAAAGGTAAAAGCAGCAAAGGACACGTTGTCAGCTTTATCCCAAGTCTTGAGATCTGTTGAGTGCAATACCCTATCCGCCGCTTCGGTATTGAAAATAACTATGACGTCAGTGCGTAACTTCACTCAAGCTTACGTGTTTGCAATCTGCACGGTCGACCATCACATCAAATTGGGCACTTGAAGGTGGAGATGACACTTGGGAATTCGTCCAATTTTGTAAGAAGCGAGGGCATATTGTGAGAGCTTGTTACGGTTCCGTTCCGGCAAATGAAGTCAAACCACGCTGACAATGCGAACAATTGTTAAGTCTATACAAGCCACAGTTGCAACGCTGTGTCAGATAATCGCCTAACATACGTGTTACAAAGATGACCAGAAAAGGAACAAACAAACGTGAACCTGAACATGTTTTCAGCTAATTGATTGCTTACACACGATTTTTACTCTGTTTTCGGGGGGTGGGGTGGGGTGGGAAGCACCAGATTTTTTAACTTCTCACAGCCAACTTGTAGGTCATGTTGACTTATTGTATGTGTTCGAACGAGCCATGGAATGGTGGCTCTCGGAGAAAGAAGGATATATAAGGAGGCCGAGATTTGAAAAGCTATCTGGTACTTGTGGAGGAAAAGGCGATGAACCCTCAACTGTAAGCTGCGCGTCTTTAAATTGGTTCCTTCAGCTTGCGTGAGCTATGTTGCAACTAATGTCATCATGGGGATGGGAGAGATTTTTTGCACACCACTGAATGTGGTATAGATCGTCCCAAAGTTCATTACCCAACTCTATAAATATGACTGTTTTTCCAGGATCATCCACCTAGTAGGGGTTGAGTATGTTCAGTAGAGTTGCGGTAGATGATAAGTCGGTTTTTCATCAAGTTCAGATTTCCGAAGTGCTTAACTCACCTGCTGGTCCTAATAATTACCACTGGGAAGCGCACACTCCCAGCCCTGTTTACCAGTTCCCAAGATTCTTCGAGAAACACTTATTCATCGCTCTCTTTTTGAGACACAAAATGCATCTGGTTTAATTTTGCCATGTCCTTAGCTTCCACCAATTCAGGTCTGACATTTTTGATGCTGCACACGTGGACAAACGCTTATTTGGTGGTACGAACGTAGCCCAAGGCACCTACAAATGGACAGTGAAATTTACTACTTTGTGGAGTAACCAAAAAAGAGCTATTTGTTCCGGTAATATTTTGTCAAATAAATGGATACTAAGGGCTGCTCACTGTTGTCTTAATCCGTCCTTTCAAATTGTTCGTTCGATTGTTGAAGCAGGGAACCCGAACATCGCCTTAAGCTGATTGTGTACTGAATCTGGCTCATTGTTGTGTCATTCCAAACTGTTCGTCTCTGTTTCTAACCAATGGCTTGCAGGTTGATGTTCTAGCTGCCTGCACGTATGTTTGCCTTACAACAATTCGTATGTGCTACCGGTAAACCACAGTCATGATTGCACCTTTCCAGTATCTTTGACCGTATAATCGATCCCCGTGATTACTCACTAATGCACTGCATCATACGTTGTTCTGAAACAGTGCCCTCTCCTACCTCTTCTCTTCAAATTTCTCGTGGGAGTGATCATGGACGTCTCGGTTGCTGCTCGTAATACCGGTATGTTCGAAATGCTCCCTATCTATCTATCTATCTATCTATCTATCTATCTATCTATCTATCTATCTATCTATCTATCTATCTATCTATCTATCTATCTATCTATCTATCTATCTATCTATCTATCTATCTATCTATCTATCTATCTATCTATCTATCTATCGTTCATGAGCGAGACATCGGTTGCATATAACCACTGTGAAACATGTACGCGGTTGGGTGGCTGAGGGTAACTGCTGATGTGGCGAAGTTTGCAATTCTAATTGTAACCAATGCTCTCTGAAACGTTTCCTAGTGGGTTTATTCTTCCTATCCGATACGGAAAAGAAGCTTCGGACACTAAATTTCTATTCAAACATACGAAGTGAGTGTGGGCTATTGGGATTGTGTTGTATTGCACTCCCTTTGTACATTTTCCACAGTAGCGCATTTCCATCAAACATACAAGTGTCCCATTCGCCAACGTGTTATTCACACGACAACTACACTTTTATGAACCGTGAGTCATGAAATGAAGCCACTGGGCCTCGTGAACCCTCCTTTTCCCAATATCCCTGCCAAATTATGGCAGGGATGGGTTTAATCGCAATGTGACTACAAATCATTCTTTGATTTAGTTGCTCAACCGCAACTCATGTTTTAAACCGTATAGATCATTGGTGAGGTTCGATATATCTTTGGGAAACATGATTTTAAGCATTAGTAATTGAGGCCTTAGCGAATTTACTCCTTACATTTTACTGTTGTCAGGGGCCAGTTTTAGGATTCCCAGTCACTTGTTTCTGTCTTATTTAGAACCAGATAACAAAACAGCATCTACTTGTAATTGGAGAGCTCTTTCGAGTTGTGTTAGGTATTGAGGGACTTCCAGATCGCGAGAGCGAGACGGATTTCTAAGTTAGTCCAGGAACCCGGGGAGCGTGCGACTTCAGCGACCCTCTGTGCAATAATGTGTGTCCAACGAACGTGTTTGAATGTGAGCTTCCGAGGAGATGATAGTTAATTTGGAGATTAGTTTGTTGGACTTTCCGCAAACGAAATGTACAATAAAACGTATACTCTGGCTTTTGAACCACTAAATTCGAACAAAGCCAATTAACAAGAGGAAATGGAGACAAGTCCTAGGGCTAACTCTTACTGTGTTATTACATAAATGAAACCAAACATACACGATGTTTTTTCTCTCGATCGAAGAAATACTGAATAATATATGGGATTTTTATTTGAGTTTTAGCTATACTGAATAATATATGGGATTTTTAGTTGCTAAGATTTTTAGCTAGTAAGTGATTTGGTAATTTCCAAGTTGAAGTAATAGACCAGATGTTGTAGTTTTCATGGGCATTAGGTTAAAAGAAACCTTGCTACACGATGTGCTTGGTTTTATTGCATCACACAATCTCGTTTTTGCACTTCAAGTTGCGTTCAATTTCCATCTCACACAGCCACCTTTGATATCGCCCTCCTGAAATTATCCACACCGTTGGATCTCACACGACCGAACATCAGTATCGTAAATCTCCCTACCGCACAAAATACCACACTGCCACAATTGAGTGAAACGGGTGTTATTGCTGGATTTGGGTACTTTTTGCATCCCGACATGGAACCAACCATCGCTCAGTTAGCCACACTTAAATTTGTGGCACATCAAATATGTGCTCAACGCCATGGGGTGTACAGTCCTACTTACAACCCTTGCATCGACGACGATGTAACAAGACGTGCGATGCCGGTTATTTGATTGTAACTGTTTATTTGGTTATATTTGTGTGCACCAAATCTCATTTTATGAGTACTACTCTGATCGTCCAACTAGCTGTCTCGGCTTGTTTTTCCAATCCCACTGCCAACTTAATGTCCCCACGCANTGTAACTGTTTATTTGGTTATATTTGTGTGCACCAAATCTCATTTTATGAGTACTACTCTGATCTTCCAACTAGCTGTCTCGGCTTGTTTTGCCAATCCAACTGCCAACTTAATGTCCCAACGCACATGATGCCATATCATCTCCAAACATCCATGCCATTCTATTAGGGTTTTCACTGATCTATACAGTATCCACGGCTGCCCAAGAATATGCGAACTGTTATGTGTTTAAAAAATTCAACCAATCATGAGAGTCTCCCGCATGTTACTGACAAGTTAACATTCTATTTCTCGCTTGACTAGCCATTTCATTTTCATGTTCTGTGAGCTAATTACTCATTTGAACACTACGACAGCTCGTGTGGAGTAATCAGCTAACAGTCAAGAAAAGTTGGATCGAACATACAAGTGTCCCATTCGCCAATGTGCTATCCACATGACAACTACTTTTATGAACCGTGAGTCATGAAATTAAGCCAATGGGCCTCGTGAACCTTTACCAATATTCTATCTTTGGCGAATTATGGCAGGGATGGGTTTAATCGCAATGTGACTACAAATCATTCTATGATTTAGTAGACCAGAATAAGTTGCTCAGGCGCAAATCATGTTTTAAGCCATGTAGATAATTGGTGAGGTTTGACATGTCTTTCGGATGCATCATGTTAAACGTTAGCAACTGAGGCCTCAACGAATTTACTCCTTACATTTTACTGTTGTCAGAGGCCCGTTTTAGGATTCCCAGTCACTTGGTTTGCGTCCAAAATAACCTTGTCTTATCTAGAACTAGATAACAAAACAGCCTCTACTTGTAATTGCAGAGCCCTTTCGAGTTGCGTTAGGTATTGCTGGACTTGCAGATCGTGACAGCAAGACCGATGGCCAAGTCAGTTCAGGAACCCCGGGAGCGTGCGACTTCAGCGACGCTCTGCGCATTAATGTGTGTGTGTCTAACGAACGCCTTTGAATGTGAGCTTCCGAGGAGATAGTAGATCATTTAGAGATTAACTTGCTGGACGTTCCCCAAACAAAATGTACAATAAAACGGGGAAAGTGGATTAAAACCACTAAATTCGAACAAAGCCAACTACGCAAATGAAACCAAGCATACAAAATATTTTTTCTCTCGATCGAGGAAATACTGAATAATGTATGGGATTTTTAGTTTCTAAGATTTTCAGCTAATGAGTGACTTCGTAATGTCCAAGTTGTAGTAAGAGACCAGATGTTATAGCTTTCATGGGCATTGGGATAAAAGAAAACTTGCTACACGATGTACGCGCTTTTGTTGCTTTACGCAATCTCGTTTGTGCACTTCAATTTGCATTCCATTTCCATCTCACACAGCCACCTTTGATATCACTCTCCTGAAATTATCCACACCGTTGGATCTCACGCGACCGAACATCAGTATTGTAAATCTCCCCACTGCACAAAATACCGCACTGCCACAACTGAATGAAACGGGTGTTATTGCAGGATTCGGTTACTTTTTGCATCCCGACTTGGAAAAAACCACCGCTCAGTTAGCCACATTTAAAGTTGTGACAACAGAAATGTTCTCAACTCCACGGAGCGTACAATCCTACGTAAAACTTTTGCATCGACGACGATGTAACAAGACGTGCGACGCCGTTTAGTTGGTCATTGTATTTGTGTACACCACACCTCATTTTATGAGTGCTAGTCCAGCTAGCTGTCTCGGCTTGTTTTGCCAATCCAAGTGCCAACTTAATGTCCCGGAGTCCTTCGATTTGATCGCACTGTGTAGGCAAACATACAAGAATAGCACAAAGCTAATGTGGATGTGTGCAATCGCTTTAGTAGCAGAGAACGTTTGGTCCTACGAGCGAGGTGGTTGTCTGACATTTTGCAGATCCATTTTTCCTGGAATGGAGGTACCTCAATTGGCGAATTGCAAAGTCGCTTGTCGGTGGTTCTGACACGGAGATAGATGGATTGGAGGAATAATGGCTGTGTACCGATGCAGACGAACGGGATTTCGGTGGTTTCTCGTCAGAATATTAACACCTACAGAAAACGGCACAGCACTTACGACAGACTTCCCGAGAAGCTTTTGATCGTCGTCTTGCAAGCATGTCAAAATCAGGTGCATGGGCATTCACAGTGAGAGAACGCTCAGTGAGACAACGTATCAAATGAAGTTATTATTTCAGAGTATCTCGGTGGGTTGCACATTCACTGTAATGACAGACTAGATTCGATGACCAAGTGAATAGCAGATAAGTGGGGAAGATGATGAGAGGGCTGTACCTAATAATGAGAATAGTAAACCTGAGAAGAATTCTCCTGTTTCAAGCTTTCCTAACAGTTAGTGTGTTCATTTTGTTCAGTTTTTGGGTAAACGAATTGGCAGCATTTGTGATGGATGATTCACTGCTTGAAATGTCTTACCACTCATAATTTCTGGGTGACAGTGGAGCTGGATTTGCGGGAAACTATGCACAGAGCCCAACTTTGTTTGGCACAGTGTCTAGGGGTCGTCCCGACAACTCGACATGCATACCCATAATTATGGTGCGCACGATATCACAACTGGTTCGGATTCAGAATAAAGTGTCAACCATCCCGTGAGGTTCACTGTTGTCGTGGGGTGATCAAATAAATTGATAGATACGCATAACTGTTTTCTCTGCTCAAGACGTCCGACTTGACACAATCTCGTGTGTGCGAGAATCGAGAGATTTGACCACATTCCTGGCCAGTCCTATTTATCGACAGCAAGTAGTCCCATGCCTGATGCATTATTCCGTTTACGAAAAAGCCTCCAACATTGCAAGCAATAATAATGCTGAATAATCGCCAACTGGTTCGGCAACCTTTTCTTTGACCCTGGGCAACGGCATCGTCGTAAATTAATTAGGGATACTGGATCCCATTCCTTCGAAACATCGAAAGCGTATGACCGGGAATACAACCAGTTCGGTAATACTCACTGACCGCACGAATGTACGGCAAACCTGCCCTTGTCGTGTAGAACTGCGTCTTCGTTGGTACTAGAGTAAATTAGAAAGATGAATGCAGGCTGTCAGCGATGATTAGTGCACCCATAGGTGAACCAGACATAAGAATTACCTTTGTGTGGACCCCATGACCGGGGTCGTGATCAACCGAGTTTCGGAGTCCAGTGGCGTCATATCAACCTAAATCAGGGTAAATGCGGAAAACCTCGGTGTTAAAATTATCGTCCTGGATTCACCTGCCTTTTGTTCTGCTGGTTACAAATTAATATGGCCTTTTCCTAGCCTATTCTTGAAGATGTAACAAAGCTGTACTGAAATCCGTGGTATAGACTACTTGCTCGGACGCCCCTAAACTAGCGATTTTTATTCGACAGGCTATCAAAGGCTTTAGTATTCGGTTGCGAACATCTTTTGGTGTGTGCTACTTCACGCGTTACAGCATCACCTTATCAATAGAATGTCATAAGCCAGGTTGGCTGAATATTGATGATTTGACAATCATTTAGTTGAGCCAACCATTTGACAGATTTATCATGAAAACACGTCGCGTCACCACTTCAGATTTGGTATGAACATGACTGGAAGGTACTGTCCTGAATGTGTCGAGTTTCCGAATATTGGTAGACATCTGGACGAAGCAGATGATCGGAGATCCATAAGTTTTCAGGCTTCCTTTGAGACTTCACTCAGCATTTGAAGTCTGTTTATACTGAAATGCTGTCAAATATTTCAGCGCCGTTTCATCACTGTTGGGGATCATTGCTAGCTGGAAACTCATCAGACACTCTGGAAATTCGGACAAACACTTTGTTTAATAGGTGAGCACCGCACCGCATACAATAACGGACAATCTTTAGTGTTAGTCGTTTGCACTGAAGGGAGATAGAGTTTAAACAACTGTTAATCACAAGTCACGAGGATTTCGGCAGGAGTTTTACGATTTTCCGGTGTCCAATCTGATAACTTGACAAACGAGAAGCAACTGGTTTTCTAGAATGTGACAATAACTGCCATATCATCTCCAAGCTTCCATGCCATTCTATTAGGGGTTGCACTAGAATTTCACCAACAGGTTCACGCCAATCGGATTGTTTCTACTCCACTGATCTATACAGTATCCACGACTGCCCAAGAAATTTGCGCAACGTTACGTGTTCAAAAGATTCAACCAATCATGAAAGTCTCACGCATGCTACTGACAAATTAACATTCAATTTGTCGCTTGTCTAGCCATTTCATTTTCATGTTCTGTAAGCTACTTACTCACCTGGAGAAGAAATTGTATGGAGTTTGGAAAAATACTTTCCCGGGTATTTTGGCGGTAGCAATCCGAACCTCCTTAAAAGAGGAAACTTCGGCCTCGTCCAATGATTGATCAACGCAATCGTAGGCCCAGTTTGCATCTCAGCCGTCTAGTTGGAACCTTAGGATTTTGTTGACCGGAAGCCACTTGGGCTGTTTGATATCCCATATCGAGTTAACCAGGTTAGAATTCCTGAATGTGGTACTGTGTTACGCTCATTATGTAGCCGAGGTTATCTTTCACGGCTGTGAGGCAGATGCACTCGTTGAGTGTTCAGTGCACACTTGCATGTTACCGGACTTCCACCTCGCACACGTGTAGGGCATCAACGAAACGTTTTCTGCATGCTGGAATAAGCGACGGCTGATTGAAGGCGGTACGCCATCTCAGTCAAATGAATCGGTTACTCAATTAAGTGATGTACCGTAAATGGATAATGCGAAATGAAACTCAGTTGAGTGACCAAAGCAAATCTGCCAAAAGTTCGATCGGCGATAGAGGTGAGAATATTGATTGCCATTTGGAGTGGCAACGGACGAGCGTACGTTCCGATGGAATTGAACCTACCAAGACGCCTTAATGTGACCAAGTGAACGAATTTGTCTACCTCGGCCATCACAGCTCAGTTATTAATGAAAATGCGTATTGGCGAACTGTGAAACTACGCTTGCACAGCGGTTTCATGACGGAACTCGTTCAATTACTGGCCAGGTTGGACAAGTTACTCGAGGACCGAACAACTGAGTGTTTTCACCAAGCCATTGCACAGCGGAGCTCGAAAGTGTTCTAAATGTCATCTCGATCAGCTTGGAGGAATAGTCCGTGAGTACCGTGTAACGAAGATGCATGCATACCCAAGAGTGTGACTAAACATGTGCTTTGGACAGTGCGCAATCAGGCAACGGGGTTCGTATAGTATGTCGACCGTTAGCACGGTCATTTCAAAACGAATATGTCTATGCTGACGCAAGTACTGTCCACGAAATACTGCCAGTCCAACGAAATGGTCGTCACCCATCAGTCCGCCGATCATGTATTTTTCCGAATCCACGTTGCTTTGGGAGCTGAACACATCGATCACAGACTTCTCATGAAATCTCTACTGCAAGACGCGATAATGAACTTGAAATTTGAAGCTGGTCTCGCGAGTCTAGTAATTATTTCAACGTGAAATTCAACCACTGGACGAACACCAACCTGACAGATCTGCTATTGTTACAATAATCTTGTAATCTGAATTTATTTCACTGTTTTCTAAAATCTAGATTCCATAAAATCTCCGACGGAATTGAGCTTCGCACCCACAAACTCACGGGAAATGCACCACACTATCGTTAATCGATAAACGTTAATTTCTTATTTTCCGTCCTTCGACGGTCATAAATACCATATCATAGCTTGCACCGCCTTACGCCAGGCACTAAAGTAAGACATTCCATAGCCAAAACCTCGTCGACCTTTGGTTTACACAGGCGTTCTGTCACATAACTGTACCTGATCAGTCAGATACCCGATGGAAGCTGACCGGTCTTCGCCCTAAGAAGGAAAATTACAAACCTATTCACTGGGTTTTTATTTCTTCAAAGGATTTGTCGACAAATTTCCAATCGTACTCAGTGTTTCACACTACCGAGTGAATGTTTTCGAACTCATGCCTAAGTGTGTGTATACATTCAACTACATTGCATAGCTCATTCGCATAGCTCACTCAGATTCAAATTTAGTTGTAGACGTATTCACGGACGTCAGAGAATCAGGCAATTTGTTGTCAAGTCAACAATAACCTAGTCCTTGTAGACCAGTAGATTAACCTGCGCTTTAGAACAGCCAGGCCATACCCTAACCACAAATAAGCAGATAAGTGCAAATCGATAGTCTTGGACGATGAACGAAATTCTGTCGTTTCAACGGTTCTCCCACTATGCTACCTCGACTGATGAGATCACTCCTTCTCACAGAATGGAGCATTAAATTATACACGATTTTATGTGCAACCTTCATGCAATATTTATTTCGAGAAAAAATCAGTCTTCATCTGGCATTCCCGCGTTCGGTGAAGGCGACAGATCAAATATTACAAGTTCACTTGTTGAAAATTCAGGACTGACAGAACCGTCCGCGTATTAGTCCTAGTTTGGTGCGACAACATGTCCAACAAACACGGGCACCGCAGAATCACACACGAGGGCGAAGAAGAACGGGTGGTCGACAGAAATTGTCTCAGGCAAGCGAGTACTAAAACTCTGAGTGAATAATGTCGCGGCAGCCGCTGGCACTCCCTCTTCATCGAGCTGTATAA